AAAAAAAAAAAAAAAAAAAAGTAATAATAATGAGTTAAGTACCCAATGGATACATATACCCATCTCCTGATTTATATATTATCATGATGCAGTTTTCAAGAAGGGAGAAATCATGATGGCAATAACTATTGAAATGTTGCTGAGAAATAACTGTGAAAAATATTTAGTATTTGGTATTGTCGACACAAGTTTCCACCTGTGTCTTGCTATTAAGTTTTCTCACGTTCCGGCTTTCAAGACTTCTCACCTACGTGATGGGAATAACTTCTTATCATCCTCAGTCAATCAGTTCAACTCCTAGAAGTCTACAGGATTGATTTCTCTGAAGACATTTGTTACATCGGTCCTCTGCATTGCCTAAACTACAAAGTTAATTTTGAGCCAGGTGTGGTGGGACACACCCATAACCCCAGCAGTTTGGGAGGTTGAGGAGGGAAGATTCCAAGATCAAACTCAGCACGGGCAATTTAGTGAAATGTTGTCATAAATAAATAGAAAAATAAATGAAGGGCTCAAGATATAGCTCTGTGCAAAGGTCCTGGGGGAAAATCTCCAGTATTAACAACAACAAATAAAAAGCAAAACAATATTTTCAACTTCCATTCCAAGTTCTTCCACAAGCTGTCACAAATTCATATTTGTCGCTCTTTCTGCAGTCTAGCTGCTAACTATACTTAACCGTTCTGTTTTCTTTATATGCAACGAACTTGGCTACTTTCCAGCTGTCCTGCCTCTCCTTCAGATATGCTATTTTTAATCACTAATAAAATTCAGATCCATTCATAAGTCCCAGTCACATTTCCCTGGATTCTTCTTCTAAGAAATAATCTTTCTTCTAAATTTTCATGCTGCTCCATATACATTTTCCAGAGTAGATATTATTTCTATTTTTTCCCTTCCTCTCTTTGTCATTATCTCATCTGATATCTGTGCATCCCAAATTATTTGAGAATTTTCCTCCCTTCCTCCAGTTATATAGAAAAGGCTGCCAAACTTGACTTCTCTGTCTACCTCCTGGCAATACAAGCTCTGTCACAGGGATTGGCCATGGCATGGGCATGTGACCCAAGTCAGATCAATCAGAATCCTGCTCTGCAATTTTCCCCAGTAATGTAGAATGAATATGAGATCAAGTGGTGGGGACTGGAAATCTTTCATCCTTTGCATTGATACGTAGCACAAAGTAAACTTACAGTTGGGTATAGTCCTAACCTCATGAAGAAATTAAGGTTGAAAGAACAAGCTGTCAGATAGCTGACACAGAAATAGGAGGAAGGGCAGGTAAGTGTTAATACGAGACAACATCACGCTTACACGAATCAACAGTTTTCCCTTTTTGGAGATGTGCAATGTCCTGCAACAGGACAGAGATGGGGCTTTGGAAGGTTATTGGATCAGGAGGGTGCAATCCTTAGCAGTAGGTTAATGCGTTGATGAATGCCTGGCTGAATGTACGATTAGGAGGTAGAGCCTGGTTGGAGGTAAGGCACTGCCGGCTGCCTTCGGAGGTTGTAGCTCTTGCTCTCTCTGTTCTTTCTCTCTGCCCTTCCTGATTGCCGTGCATTGAGCAGCTTTCCTCTTCCATTCCCTTCTGCTATGGCATTTCTGCCTCGGAGACAGCTGATCGTGGACTGAACCCTCTGAAACCATGAGCTGAAATAAGCCTTTCTTCCTTTAACTTGTGTATATCAGATACTTGGTCCCAGTAACGGAAAGGCAACTAATACAGAAGCTTGCTTTGTTCTCATTATTCTAGGCATCAGCTCTCTTTAGACGATAGGAGCCTTGAGGAATCCTTCTAAGGATCAGCTCTTACATGTTGCAAAGCTCCATTCAATAAATAAATAAATTGCATTCTCTTGTGATCAATTTAACGTTTTCAGTCGAAAAGCATTAAAAACAATTCTCACATAATTCTATCTCTTTATTGACAAAAATAATCAACTTAATTTCAACAGAAGACATTGTAAGACTAACAATTAATTCCATAATTTGTTAATTAAGCTAATTCCTAAACTGTTTTTTTAAGAATCTGGCATGAATCAAGTGACTTCCTAGTGTCTGGCAACTCACTGATAGACAAGAGAGATATAGGTTGACCTTTTCTAACCTAGAGACTGCAAACCTGAAAACACTAAATCCAAAAGGCTCCAAAATATTCTCAGTAGCAACATGATGCCACCCATAAAAGTTTCCGCATCTGACCCCATGGGAGAAATCATTATCGCAATACAGATCCACTAAAATTATATAAAATTGCCTTCAGAATATGTACATAAGGTATATAAATTGATTTTGTGCTTATACTTGGGTCCCATCACCAAGACACCTAATTATGTCCATGCAAATATTATAAAATCTGAAACATATCTGGACTCAATCATTTTGGATAAGGGGTATTTAATCAACCTAATGATGCCAGCAAGGATCTTTTGCTCGACTGAAAAAATAGGTACAATTATAGTGAGTCTGATAAAGTCTCTGAAAAGTGGCAGGAAGCCAAGGAAATGACCAAACAGAGGTATACTGCATGATGACGGTGGCTTAGATTAGGACAGGGTCAGTGGAAAGGAAGCTAGGTAGATAAATACGAGAAACATTTATGAGACAGAAGCAATAGGACTTGGAAGCCAATTGAAGATAGGGAGTTAAGAAGAGAAGGAGTCAAATTTAGCCCCGAGCCTTCAAGCCTTAACAACCGAGAAGACAGTGGTCAGATCTACTGAGAAGAGGACAGTTACATGAGGAGCAGATGTGTGGTGCTTGGGCATGAGGTTTCTGGGAGATCCAGCTGCAGAGTAAAGTAGGCAGTTGGCCCACGGTCAAAAGAGAGGTCCATTCTTTTCTAGGTAATCAAAATATAATGAAACTCTCATTATATTCCTTCATCTGAGTGATCATTTTAGACTGAGGCCAGGAATTTGAAAGGTAAGTGGATCCTTCCTTTAGACTGTAAATCTCCCTAGGATAGAAACTCTTCTCGCTCCATTTGGGTGGGTATCGACAAAGCCTAGGGCACATTATTGAATAAGAAATGAAGAACATTCCTTCGAGTTTCTGTTTTACCATTAAAGGTGAAAATGAAGTGTTGATAGCAAAAAACATTAAAAAGCAGTTGGCAGAAAGTTCAGAACAAATTGAGACTGTTAAATAAGGATGATCAGAAGGGATATCTGAGTCTAATCAATGAAGTGGTTATAATTTACAATGTAAAGCATAACAGGAAGGAAAAAAGGGCGGAAAGAGAACAATTTAAGAATAGCAAAAACAAAAATCAATGCCAATTACACTGATGTACATTTGGGGTATGCCAAAGGAACTAGATCTCTCAGAGGCCATCTATTAACACTTTTGTAACGTTCTAGAGATTCTTTTGACATACCATAGTATTTTTTACAGTGGTATTGTAACACACTACGGAATCTTTTTGCATGTTACACGACTTGACAAGATGAATTCTGTACATATACTATAGGAAAAAAAAATCCTATCTTTAATTACTTTTGAACCATACAGACAGGAAACAACAGGAATTTAAAACATTCATTGTATTTATTATTTCTTCATTAGGTGAACTCTTTGATCAAACTGGCATTGACAAAGAAATAAGCAATTTTCTGGATGCTTTTGAAACAAAGATGAATCAGGCTTTCCTTAAAGGAGTTTGCACTCTGAAGGAGAAAAAGTCAAGAAGACAAAAACTGAGCACCTGTGCTATTTTAGACATACGTACACTTGTGACCAAGACCATCTGACTATTTCTCCCAGTTTGCCTTAATTTTTAAGATCATTTGCTTTAGAAATTTTTTAACCCAAAATTCTTTCTCTAGTACTTTCACATATGCAAACTTCTCCCAGCCTCCAGGAATGTTGTTTTCCAGGACCTGGGAGCCATCACTTTGTAAAGCAGTCATCAAGAAAGACTGCAGCCAGGTAATCCTAGAGTTCTGGCAAGAATCAGGAAGATCACAAGTTCAACCGAAGCCTGTGCAACTTAGTGAAGCCTTGACTCAAAATAAAAAGGGCTAGGGTTGTATCTTAGTATTTTAAAAAGAGAGAGAAAAAAAAAAAGAAGGAAAGAAAGAAAAAGAAAAAAGTACCAGCTGGATACAGTGGTGTATGTTTCTAATTCTAGTGACTTCAGTGGCTGAGGCAGCAGGATTGCAAGTTTGAGACCAGCCGGGACAACACAGTGAGACCTCGTCGCAAAATAAAATTAGAAAAGGGGCAGGGTGCAACTGGAGTTGTAGCTCAGTGACAGAGCAGTTCCCTAATACACTGGAGGCCTTGGGTTCAATTCCCAGGGCACAACATCTTTGACTATAAAAGCATAGCGTTATACTTGGAGAGGTACAATTTCCATATTTAAAAATTTTGTTCCAAGTGTAAATCAAACGTCGTGTTCTTATGACAGTAGAATTTTAAAAATAAGGGGAGAGGAGAAGAAAAAAGGAAAATGAAGAGAAGAAAAGCGGGAGGGAAAGGGCAGAGAGGAAGGGATGGGCGGGGAGGGTAGGAGGGAAGGGAAGGGACGGTAGTTTTGTGGGTGAGTGGAGCGCAACGTCAACGTGCTCCAGTTATCGTACACAGATGTCCTCGTTAAATCAGCTGCCTCCCCCAGAGGTCCTCTAGCACTTATTCACTACTAGCTCATCCAGCACTTAAAAGCTGCCTTCCTTGCTATTTTTCACAAGTGTCTATGCAGTTTCTCTTCGATACATCATACTCTGGCAGCACAGAAGATTCAACCTGTGGGAGAAGTGGGAGGCCTTTAAAAAAAAAAAAAGAAAAGAAAGGAGCGGACAGGACACACGAGCTGGAAGGCAGTCAAGGGAATTCACCACGCTGGGAAAGAAGGGGCCAGCACCGGGCACAAGGAGCAAGGCAGAAGGGGCTGTAACAAATGACCTCACACGTCTGCAAGTTTCCTAACAAGGAAGATATTCAAAGCCTAAAATTCAAATAGACTTTATTGCATATGCTTATTTATTGGTTGTCAAAATGTATTGATCTCTTTCTACTAAAATCTGTATTAATATGTTCAATTTTTAAAAGCAAATTTAAAATTACTCTTTGATCTAAGCTGTGGTCTATTTCTGCTTTGGTTTGGGCTCAGGTAAGCACAAATAAGCTTCCCTTGAGAAATTTTAAAATGCTGAAATGCTTTTTAACTCCAATCAGGAGAGTGACAGGCCACCACTGACGGAAGGATAGATCTGAATCAGTCATCCAAAACACTGAACAGCTCCAGGTGACTTTTCCAGCTGAAAGTTGTACACATTTGTGGGGAAGAAGCTAACTAAAGCTCAATTTTTCTCTTTTTCCTTCCCAGGCAGTCCCTATGAGAGCAGCTGTTCTCTTATTAAGGCTGTTAAACTTTAGCAATAAACCTCTCTGGAATTAGATTGAATAAGGTGACGTAGAAGAAAGTTTGTACCAAATACATTTGCGTAGATTAGAATCTGCAGGTGGTCTGTATTGGGAGGCCCATTGTTCAGCACTGGAACCTTTTGAAATGAGAACAAAGAGCCTTTCATTGCTCAAATTCTAAACGTGGTTTAGTACTTCATTAGAAACCTCTTAGTTCACTGTAGGAATCTTTCAGGTTTAATTATGAGGTGTGGTAAAAGCCTGCTTTCCCTAGAACACCATACTGAAACATTTTATTCTGTGTTTCCTGGGAGATCTCCAAGTTTTGCAAACTGCACAAGTTATCAGCACATATTTAATAGTTTCTGAAATCTATGAGTCAGGCTCAATCAAGGTAACTGTCTCAGCTAATGTGAGTTCTGAAATTAAAATTATTAAGCACCAAAAGCAATGGAGTTAAACATTAAGAAACCTGGCTTTCTTTTCTGGTTCTTTAACCTTGAGATACCACTTCAGTTTCTGAGCCTTAGTCTTCGGTAAAATGAAGTAGCTAACTAAATCCCATTACTGTTATGGCCAATGCGTAAAAATACAGACAGTGCTTCACATTTGTCATTGTCTTGGCTGTGAAGTAACACTGCAAGGAGATTACTGCTACAGCTATGATATCAAATCACTGCACATGGGTTATTGTATATGCTAGTATCAGGTGGCCAGTTAACTTTGAAAGCCATTAGCAAGAGGATGGACAAAATTCTTGCATTAGTGCGGAGAGCAGGTATCAGGATCTGTGTTCAGAATGGTGACCTAACCCTTCAGACAGAAAGGAATACGATGTTTGGATGCAGCACTGACTGCTAAAGCCTAGGTTGACAAGTTGAGCCTCTGGAATAAATTCTTGGCTTTCACTGCTTCTGCTCCCGATGCCTGGATTTTGTGTTTGTGTTTTCGATGTGTTTGGATTCAGGTAGCAATTGGTCAGGACCCACGGGAACAAAGCTTTCTTTCTCAGCAGCTACGCTGACAAACACCACCTTCCGATGTCATTCAATGAAAAATAAACCTTCCTCTCCCGAATAAGACAGCAAAATACTCAGCTGTCTGAAATGAAAACAAGGCAAAATGAGACTACGAATACATGCTTATTAAACATACAAATGAATAAATCACTCATGAAGCCCAAGTTTGGGCGTCCAGCTTTGATCATGAAGGGCAACACAAAATTTCTAATAGAAGTCTTTTTGTTTTTTTTTTAAATAGAGAGAAACAATTATTTCGACTGTAGAATACTGAAGAGAAACAAAGCTCCGTTTTCTCTGTTCTGTACAAAAGTTAATAGGTAGGGTAGAAAAGCCTGGCCTAAGGCTGGATTTGCAGCACTCTTTATCCCAAGTCCAGTTGGTGGTTACCTCTTCACCTGTGCTACGAGAGACGACTTGAAGACAAAATGGGTGAGGACAAGCGCAGGGGGAACCTCCGTACAGGTTGATTGAAACGAACTGGGTCTTGATTTCCCTAACTGTGATTAAAAACAGGGCAGGAGAGGAATGATCAAAATGTCTTTTGTTGGTAATATTTTGCAAAGGGTCTGAAATATTAAGGTTTTATGTCTTTCATTTGAGCAGGTAGAAAACACACGCAGGCTATGCTCTATGAGTACAGAACAGTGTTTTTGGCTTGTCACTGTAAGGGTCGTGGATTTTGCTAATTATGTGATTAGCCATTACCTTTCTCATGGCAACGGACATAAAGGTGTGGAAAAAAAATAATGCTTTCATAGACAATTAAATTAAGCGGATTAGACCAGCCACAAGACGTGCTCCCAGTCAGTTACCAGAAATGCCCACTAGGGACCTTTGGGAATGTTACCTTCTCCTTTCCTTGGCAACTTCTTTTCACGCATCCAAATTTTCTCAGCTTTTTTTTTTTTTTTTAAAAAAAGCTCTCTTACTACAGTATATTTTCCTTGACCATGGTCATCTAAAACTCCAACCTTTTTCTCAAGCACTTCATATTTTTTTTTCTGCCCTCTAATATCTGTCAGTGCCTAATGTATCATAGATAAACTGATTTTGTCTTGCTTAGTGTTTCCTGAGCCCGTGAATGTAAGCCTACATGAGCAAGGATTTATTTGTCCGTTTGGTCACAGCTCTGCTTTAGTACCTGCAGAGATGCCTTGCACAAAGTAGGTGCTCAATAAATATCTGTTGAATGAATAAACGAATGCTATTTCTTACTGCCTCACATGCTCTCCCACTAAGATGTAATTCATGAGAAGCATAAAATTTAACTGAACCTAATTAAGGAAACAATCTCTGGAAAACCTATTAGAACTAGAGTTGATAACTTACTGGGAGATTCATTATTTTCACAGGTCTCTTCTTCATTGGCTGCTGTGGCTTCTTCCTCCTCTTCCGGGTCATCAGTATCTCCTGACTCATCACTGTCTTCAACCCATTTTCCAGGCATGAGTCCTGCTGAGTCGTACGAATTGCACAGAGGCCCCACAATGTGAGAGATGAAAGATTCCTGCAGATTGGCCAGCTGGGGAGCAGAACGGTCCATGAAGGGGCTGATGGGCAACCCAAGGCTGGCCTCCTCATCACCCTAGGAAGAGGCATTTACCATGAGTAGCTAGCTAGAAAGGTAAGTGACACAGGTTTAAGACACAAGAAAAGGCAGTGTTCACCGGGCAGTTAAAATGTATAGAGTTCAAGAATCCAAACATTCACGTGCAAACTCCTTTACTTCTTTGCTAAGAAATTCTACCCAGATCACTAAGATTATTAGAAAAATGCTTAGTTGCTGCTACTTACTAATTTTGTGATCTAGAGGTTTTGGCCTTTAACAAGAGTTGCTTAACATATCAGCAGATAAACAATTGTATCACACTAGTGAGTGTTCCTTAAATTTGAATATAGATGGATCTTAAAAGGTAATACTTGAAATGATAATGAAACAAATATACAACCTATCATGCTTTCCTTTTATGCCTTGGGTACTTGAAAGCATAATTTATTGCTCAATTCAGATTGATATCTTGTTTAGGTTACCATGACTGTGATTATATTGCTTTTCACATTTTTATGTATTATATGTTTAATAGTATTACTAGGAACATGTTTTGTTTGAACTCCTTCAAACTTTTCTGGGAAAAAAATGACATCATAAACCAGAAGTTATCTAATGAAGGAAAGAAAAACTATCAGTGATGGTTATGCCTAAGAAACTGCATTATTGTTAATGGATTTTCCTTTCCCTTCATGTTTTTTCTGCATTTCAATTTTTCAGGAATGACCATCAATTAAGCCCATTCCTCTGTAAGGAGATTCATTACATAAAAATAAAAACATATAAGGTCTGGGGATTTAGCTCAGTGGTTCCGCCACCTGCCTCGCAAGTGCAGGGACCCGAGTTAGATCCCTAGTACAAAAAATAAATAAAGAAAGAAATTTAAAAATAAAAGCACAAACCTTTTATTTTATATATGAATCTTACTTGCAATACCCATAAGAGTTCAGTGACAATTTATTGCTTAATAAAGTACCTCATTCTATTTTGGGACACCTTTAGTAATACAGTTTTCTTTCGATATGGACTCCAACTCTGTCACCCAATAACTTCTACAGAAGGGTTACATTTAGATCCCTTGTTGGGCATTAACATCAACCCATTCCTAAATTTGTATGTTAGTTTTTAAATATCAGAAGGCCGTTATCTCTGCTTTTCTTAGAATAAATACCTTCACTTTTTCTAAATCTTTTTATGCCTCTGATCCCTGTCCTTCACCAATGCACCATTACCTCTACATTCCTCTTAAAAGAATTCACAATTCCAAATAGAAAGCTCCACAGATAACCAACTGAGGTGAGCACTCCAGAGGGAGTAGCATCCCACACTTAACGTTATTGTCGTAAATTTTTGGTAGTCTGTTAACCTATCAACACATCCAATAAAATGTCCATTTCCGGGAAAGTTTCCTTATATGCTCTTTTTCACTCTATTAGAAAAGTACATGCACTTAAGGTAATATATTTCTCCAAATAAATTTGAACTACCTCTTATCATAATAATCTATAGAAGAACAGAATTTCAAAGGCCTGCATAATGTCTCATTATGTCATTCCATTATCTTACCATCTTCCCCCAAAATGATTGAAATAACTTTATCATAAAGCTCTGTAGTGACAGTTAGGTTTGATTTTTTTTTACCATAACAATTTTTAACTCTTTGATCAAAACTGTCCGTGAGTATAGAATATGAAACAGAGTAATCATACTTTACAGCTTTTTGGAAATTTTAGTGAGTTAATGAGAAGCCCAAATATACAGCTTGAGATAGTCTAAGCACTTCAGTTACCTGTTCATAGAATTCATTGACAATACCCTCTGTCCACTGAAGATGAAGTTCTTTACATTTAGCTGGCCCATTAATATCAGCCAACTTTATACACATCTGACAAACCAGGAGACGATCATTTTCATTGGTCCAGTCTATTCCAACATCATCATTCACCTGTTTGAAGGACAAAGTTAAAATGTTTTATCTCAAGGAAAGAAAGCAAAACTTGAACGAGAAAAAAAAGAACCATAGAATACCAATTGTCTTTCTACCATGTGGATCTCAGAATACCAAATAACTGGGACCTTAGCTATTTAAGATAATGTGACTGGCTTATATAAATTAATAGTAAAAGAGTTCATCCAAAAGTTAAAAATAATAAGTGATGGATATAATAATTATAAACTATGGAGAGTTGGGCATGGTGGTGCATGCCTGTAATCCTAGCACTCGGGAAGCTGAGGCAGGAGGATTGCTGTGAGTTCGAGACCAGCCTGGGCTATATAGTGAGTTCCAGGTCAGTCTCAACTACATAGTGAGACCCTGTCTCAAAAAAAAAAAAAAATCATAAACTATGGAACTGACTGTAAGTGCTATTGAAGTTAGCATATATTAGCAATTACTATTAAAATAATAAAGCTGCAATTAATAAGAATTTTTCCTGAATTAATATTTGGGCATTTATGTTTGATGTAAGAAAGTTCACTTCAATTTTTTTATCTTTATTACTTCTGGATAATTTACATAAATATGTCATATAGATGAGAGAAGATTAAAATAAATCTTTAATGATACTCAGAATTTATTGTTCATCTGTAGAAAGAAACATAACATACACACACAACACTGCAGTTTCAGGTACCTAGATCCAGACCAATACCTTACATATCTGCTTCCATTTAAACATTTTATTGCACTCTTTTTCACGGTTGACGTATGAGAGCTGAAGGCAGTTGAATTTTGCTCCACACTTTGATTCTATGACACCTTTTAATGTGGCCATAATATGAAGACTGGTGCAAATCTAGTTACCTTGGCATTAAATTTGGTTACGAAGTCAAAGTGTTTCTTCAAGTCAGTGGCCAAAATTGCTTCAATGACAAGGAAGCGGAAATGCTTAAATTCCACATGGTCAAGGTTAATTAAGAAGTTATACTCTGGCCGGGACATGAAAAGATTCCATGCAGCAGCTGCATGATGATTCTCCAAAACAGAGCGATCATTATATAGCACCGCCTATGCAAACAAGAAGAGAGTTAAGAATTCAACTTTAAGTTGTTTAAGTTTTTAAAAGAATTGCAAAAATAAATGAGAATATGCAAAATAGCTATTTTGTTCCTGGAACAACAGCAATACAAGAAATAATCTTGCCTTTGCTGGTTGTTTACAATCATTTATTGCCATATCTTGGCTGCTGATTATGTTTCTTGGCTAAATTTTCTTTCATAACCTGAGGTCCGTTTTTTGAAACTTTTTTTGCTTTTCCCAAATTACAGCAAATAAAAGGCCCTAGCTTGCCTTAATAGAATGTGTTTTCCACAAAATCTTTTTCTTTGGATTTCTTTGCAAGTTACAGGAATTTAAACATAAACACATGAACACACACACACACAATATATATACATATATATACATATATATGTATATATATATATATATAATCTCTATGAGCTAATTTGGTTAATTTCAATATATGGTATAAGAATTACCACTTTTTATCATTATTGAAGAGGAATGAAATCCCTAACAAGTCCACAAACAAAACATCTTCACCCCACCATCAACCATGGGCAATATCACACTTTATCTAGAATAGTAACTAGTAACTTATATAGTAAACATCTACTCATTTTGAATTCTCAAACAATGCTAAGCGAAACTTCAAGAAAAAAGAGAAGTTGCCTACAAAAAATGCTTGAAGACTAGCGTTAGACTAAGCACATGAATATCAATATTGAGGTAAGTAAAAAAATAAGGAAGAAAACCTGAGTAGTAAATTATGCTGGCAAGAGAATTTCTGCCTATTTCTGGGAAACTAATTTTGATCTATGAAGGACTTATGGAAAGAAGAAAAAATATGTGGTCAAGAAAAAAGAATATTTTTATTGTATATATAAATTCAAGGAATACTCTCTATTTCAAGGAAATTCAAGAAATATTCTAGAATGGTCCAGAAGAGAGGTTGTATAATTAGATGAGAGTGGGATAAAACACAACAAACAAGGTAGACACAGAACCAGACTGACATTTTAGATCCTTTAGAATGAAGAACCAAGGGTCTCTGAATGTTTTGTTGTTTTTCTTGAATCTCATGTTTAGGTAAAAATTTTCCCTCAATGAATGAAAGAAATTGTGCTAAATTCAACAACCAACAGAAATGCCTTAAGAATAATAAGTGCTGTCATAAATGTCTTTCGGAGGAATATCATTTATATACAGAGAAACTTTACAGTCTTAAAAATCCAAGATAGATTTGGTTCTCTAATCTTTACAGTAACAGACACATGTACAATCTGCCTTTCTTTGTCGAGGAGCTCATAACGTGAACTCAAGTAGATTTTCTTATAGGAGTAACGGGGAAGGAGCGATAATACCCTAAGGGTAAAAGGTGCATACTTGCCATGAATATCTTAGAAAAAAACCTATGTTGTCTTTTCACAACCAGCATGACTAAGAATTTTATCTTGGGACACAGTATAGTTTGGCATCTATTTAGTTGGTGCCTATTAGAATTCAGATGGATAAAATTAATTTTCTTCAGAAAAATCTCTACATTGAGTGGTTCCTCCTAATCCAAGTCTAAAGATTTACCTGAGGAGCACTGGTAGCAACCAGGAAAGCATTCGTTCTCCCTGGGTGGTCATAGTCATGCATGGCTGCAGCTACGTACAGCGCCATCAACTCTAAGGCAGGGATGTTTCCGGAAAGGCATCCATATTTATCATCCGCCGCATTATGCATTTTTGAAAACACATATCCCATATGCCCATGTGTAAATCCACTGTCAGAGTCTGAGAAGAAAAGGTTGAAATAATAGAAAATTTAAAAAGTGTTAAATAGGCACCATTTGTTTGCACTTCCTTTAAACACACACACACACACTCATTTCTGTTTCACAAGGGAGCACAGATGTACTTAATACACACCTGAATCACTTGCTGACCCGGGGTCATTAACCACGGTGGAGAGGCCTGGGATAGGCTGTGTCGTAAGATACCAAACAGCATGTAAGACATCAGTGGCATGGATTCGGTTATGATCTGCAGCCAACGCAAAGGAATAGTCATCAACCTGTGAACTTTGGGGTCGAAGGTCTAAGAGTGCCATCTACTGGAGAAATGGTTTAGTCCAAACAGTTTAAAGGCCCGGTGAAAGCCAGCCAAGCTTTCTAGAACAGATATTCTTTGATTACTCTTCCGTACCTTCCTAACATCCACAGGAACAAGAAAAAACACTCACAGCATTAATAATGCGCTTAGACGTCTGAAATGGAAAAATCTCTGGTCAGAGTCTATTAGAAACCCAGGTGTATGCAAAACAACTGCAGTGTTTACTCTTGGACTTATTTCCATACTCCTGTAGACAACTATGCAGAAGAACAGAAGGAAAGGAGGAGCCGTGACAGGCTTCACCCTGATCAGACCAATGACTCAACTCCTTAATATTCTATCTCTTACAAGTGGTGCCCAAATCTAGTTTGCAAATAGAACATTGTAGTATTCTTCAACATCAATATTTAAATGTAACAATAAAAAGGAGCAGCACATCTTTCCTACCTAGATTAAAACCACAAAACAAAATTCAAAGCCAAAATCAATTATGTTCTCTGATCAAGAAATTCTAATTTGGGATGTATTTCTAGAAAATACCTAAAGAAAAAGAGTAAGAATCTATTTTGTAATGATGCAGGGAGTTGGGCCTACAGTTATGTTCTTAGAACATAGAACATAGAAATTGTACTTTGGGGAGGCTGGGGATTTAGCTCAGTGGTTCCACTGCCCATTACCTGCCTCACAAGTATAAGGTCCTGAGTTTGATCCCTGGTACCCCCACAAAAAAGGAAGAAATTATACTTTGGAAATATGTTTATAGGCATTATATAAAATTAAAAATAAGAATCTCTTTGTATATTGATGTAGGTGGAATATTACAGTTATGTTCTCTCATTAAAATTTTTTTAATTTGGGAATACATTTCTAGGAAATACCTAAAGAGAAATATAACAGTCTCTCTGTATAATAATGCAGCTAAGTAAAAATTATGGAGAAAGCAAATTCACAATTCACAATATTATCATCAGGAAGAGAGAGAATCATTTACATGTGCAGTTCAGCTTATTTTGAGCTCAAACCAGGCCTGGCAGGCCAGTTTCATCTTCTTTTTCTAGTGACATTCTTTCAAGTGTTGGTCTTCTTTATCTACCTCTCTATAATAGTTCATTAACTGACATGGTTTATCCTAAAGGCAACATCTTTACACACTTTTACTTCTTCTAAGCAACCATGATACCACTTCCTTAATAGAAGGGATTACATTTCTGAATAGTCAATTAATGAAGAGGGGAGAAAAATAGAGGAAAACAAGAATGACAACGGGAATGAGAGAAACACTTGTTTCCAGGTTTGAAAAATAAAAGAGGAAGTCCTTGGCCTGGGTGGCCTTGGTAACACCCAGGCGCATGGAGATAGATGGCACCTATTTTCCTACACGTCTGGTAGCTCTTGAAGGAGTCTGTCTTTACGTGAAAACATAGATTTAAATCTTAGGTATATGTTACCCTGGGATTAAACTGAGGGGCTTAAGAAGATCTTCTTAGGAGAATTTTGTGAAAGGTCTTGGGCCCCCAAGGAGGAAACAACAAAACTTGCTTTCCTGGATCCTCAAAGTCACCATTCCATTTTATTAAGATTGGAGTGGGTACGCTTAAATACAGGCCACTCGAAGTGTACAAGCCCATACTTTTAGATAACTTATAGACAAAACAACTGTGTTTACATTTTATTTCTGTATCTGTGCCATGTACAAAGTTGATCACATGAGAATTTTCTGGCTTTGGGACAAATCTTGTTTTGTTTATGTTCTGGTATTTGTTCTCCACGTTACACTGCATGTTACTTAAAACTTACTTTCTCATCTTGAAAAGGAGATAGATTAAAAAGCCTCAATTCCTTATCTTAAAAATATAGAGGTAAATAGTAGTGCCAATTTCATCGTACAATTGTGAGAATCAAGGAAAGGACTGTATTTAAAGTCCCCAATACATTGTGTGCTTCCAATCAGTGTCATCATTATGCACACACGGTAAGTTGTTAGTGTAGAACAAGATGGCAAATGAATGTAGAGCACTTGATTGCTCTCTGAATTAATGGTGAATTTGTAAGAATTGGACTGAAGAACTCAAAACCTGTTCAACCAATGGTCTCAATTCCCTAACAGTTCATGTCTGACAAATGGCACCCAGATATAATCTGTGAAGAGAACACAGGACTATTCTTTTGTATCACTCTTCACAAACTGCAATGAAAATGAATAGTACATCTCTTCTATGTAGGTTCAATCCACAAAGCACCCAAATGGCACTTTTTGAGGAGGTAGATAGCAGTGACAACCTGGAATAAGAAAAAAAAGAAAAAGTATTCCAGGTAGAAGGTATAACTCTTGGGAGCAAACTTCTAAATTCCATTCTTTTTCCTTGTTGCAAACTGAGAAGATAATCACCTATGAGTTATTTCTGCTACCACTGTACATCAGAAAAACCCAGCACCGCAAGGGTCAGGGTGCTGGCGGAGCCTGCAAAGTCATCCTACTCCATCTTGTCTGCTACCCCAAGGCCCAGATCCAGAATATGTTACTGGTAAGGTTTACAAACTTTCAATGAAAGCACGATCCAATATAAACATAGTAGTGCTTTAAATAAAAAAAGGAAAGCTACCACACTCATGAGTCAAGTATAATCCTGACTTTAAAACTAGCTAAAATACTTGAAAAAATTTAAAAAGCTCCTGCTGCTTTTAAAGTATGGGCTCAAAAGCATCAAATAAAATAATAACAGCGTACCGAATCCAACTGCCTATTGAAACACACACATCTAGTTACGTGCATGCCTAGGAGAATCACAATTTTATTAATCACTTAAACAGCATGGGAAGCCATCTGCCTAGTCAGCAGTCAGCAACACGTTGATTAAACAAATATTTACTTTGCGCACACTATGTGCAAGTACTGTATTATGCTACATGCTTGTATCTCTGTTGCCCCTGATGTTCATTTTCCACTGACCCAACTCAGAAGCACCGGTGCTAAGAAAGAAGGCAGCCAAGTTAATATAAGGTCCTGAGGATACACAAACATGCTTAAGGGTTCCTCTTGTTGTGGCCATCGCAGGCAACTGAAAGGGATGAAAAATGGCATCAGGACTACTCTTGTTTCATCTCTTAACATCCTCCTTCCTTCATTTCTATATTTTATACTAATTCTTTTTTTTTTTTTTTTTTTTTTTTTTTTC